TGTTAGTATATATATATATATATATATATATATATATATTCGCCGGGATACGAACAATGGACCTTTAAGCCTTTTGTTTTATGACCAATCACCTTCTACTATTGGTCGTTGTGGGCCACTAATCAGAACTCCCGAGACTCTAACGAAACTCACAATTTTTCTATCTTTCTAATGCTCTCGATTTTGATCGATTCTTGCAAAAGAAAACAAGAGACCTTTGTGGAATTGTTGGTTTGGAGACTTAGAACTTGACCTACAACATGGACCTTAAGGAGGTGCTAAATATGAGCCCCAAGTATGGGCCTAACTGTGGGCCAAACTCACTCTGCTCTCTGCTCATACTTGAATAATATTTCATTCCACTAAACAAATATTATTGCACTCCCCATTTAGCTTTGAATTACAATTAATTCATCTCTCGGTTAATTTGCTCGAATTACTTCCCCATGTTTAAGATCTAATGTCTGTTGATTAATTTAATTACTGACAATATAATTAATCAACTTCGTGAACTGAAACTACTACCAATCAATTATTTCGAAATTAATCCGCCTACACAGCTTAACATAATAATTTTTCTTGAGACACGGCCACCGTAAACAATTTCAACGACACATCACGTAATCGGAATTGTTTATCAAATTATAGAGTCTATCGACCTAATTGAATAAATAAGTATCGTCGTTGGTAAAGCAAATAAATAATAACCGAATACATATGCCTGTTTATTGTCTTACGGGTTAAGAGAACGCAACAATTACTGAGACCTGGATTATTTACTTGGTGTTCCTGTAGGTCCGTACAATACATCCGAGATGTACTAGTGTAATTCGTTAGTCAAAGTTCAAGTAACTCGAAAACTACTCTACAAGCTGTCACGACAGTTAGTTCAATACTGTCTGGGCTGTGAACAATATTTATATTTTATAAGGCACTGATCTTTCTGTTCCACACATTGAACCATATTATCTACAATGTCAAATGTAAAATAAAGGAACTATGTTCGCATAAATAAATAAACTGCAAGCACACTTGACTAAAACATGAATCTCATTCAAAATAGTATTGTCAGAAACTGAAAGCCAGCTTTTACTAAATTTTCAGCTGTGCTTATTCTTTTTGTATATTTATGTTGTAACTTGTAAGCATATAGAGTAGCTATAAACATACCTAATTGAGGCTTCCATATTTGCAGCCAGTGGACAATGCTTAAATATAACTGGTCTGCAATTACCAGGTGTCTTAGATGAACTATTCTTTTATAATGGTCCTCTTGGCACAATTTTTTCATCTGAAGCTGTTTATCTACATCTTTGGGCACCAACAGCACAGGTTGATGTATCATATCTCTCTCTTTCTCTCTCTCCCCTTTTCTCCATTTTGTATTCGTTTGTGGGCTCTCAGTTAATCTCACATATTTTCTTTACAATAAGCGAACAGAAAGTGCGTGCACTTATTTATGGCGAAGCTGAAGGTGGGTCCCCCTTAGAAGTTGTTGAGTTAGAGGAGTCAAATGGAGTTTGGAGCACCGAAGGGCCAGTTACTTGGCAGGGATATTACTATGTATATGAAGTGTTTGTTTACCATCCTAGCACATTGCGGATTGAAAAATGTATAGCAAATGATCCATACGCAAGAGGGTATACTGGTCTTTTTTTCACATTAATTGGCGACTTGGCGTTGGTAATGAGAAAGGAGTTCTCGTTTGATGTACACACATTTCTTGTTTGGTTTAGGTTGTCAGCTGATGGCAGGCGAACAATCATAGTTGATGTTGCTTCTGAGACATTGAAACCGGAAGCATGGGATCATCTAGCGAATGAAAAGCCGAATCTTTCTTCGTTTTCCGACATCAGTATTTATGAGCTGCATGTAAGAGACTTCAGGTATATTTTGAGTTATTCTTTTCCGACATCTTGAATTGTAATATCATTCAGTTTAAGGACTTTTACTTATTTGTTTTATGCTGCAGCGCTACTGATGACACGGTTCCATCTCTCTTTCGTGGTGGCTACCTTGCCTTTACTACTCAGGTAATCTAATTTTTATTGTTGAATCCCTTTTTACTTCTTTTTTATTTAAATCTTATGATATAGTTCACTTATTACCTTTTGTGCTCAATTATATGAAGGTAAATATTCCCTAAAGGATTCTAACTTGAGGTGTCCTAGGCCATTTAGTGATACATTCTTGAATAATAAAGGAAACCCAAAAAAAAAAAAAAAGGACTAAATGATGTCCTAGTACATAATTTAAGTTGTTACTATTGCTTGAAGGACTCTGCTGGAATGCTTCATCTTAAAAAGTTATCGGTTGCTGGTATCACGCACGTTCATCTGTTGCCAACCTTCCATTTTGCTGGTGTTCATGATGAAAAGAGTAAATGGCAGGGTGTAGGTATGGGACAGTTGCTCCATGTGCTTCTTTCCATGTCTATTTTTCATCTGAATTTGTTGGAACCACTTCACCTTTGATTGCCATTCGGCAACTCTTCGATTATTTTGTGTTTTGACTTGGAAAATTCTACTAAAATATTTAAGAAAAAGTTAAAAGTACACTTGTTTTTCTTCAGTGCCAATTAATTAGTGTTAATGTGTAATCCTTTGACAAATCTTTTGACTTGCAACTCTTCTGGAGATAAATTCTGGATGCTAATAACATAAATTTGTTAAAATTTTGATAGATAGGGCTGATATTTAGCACTTAGGTTCTTGTTCTAAATTTGAGGTTGACCTCTACTTCATTTGAAATTTTATGTAGTATAATATTAATTTAGGATCTCCAATTTTCTAGACATATCACACCAATATTATATTTACTAGCAGTACCAATATTAAAGTTATGCTTTCTTCGCCCTAATTATTGTTATGAAGAGTTGAGTGTGAATTTTGTTAAGTATATCAAGGTTAAGTATATCATATGCCAATGGAGGACAGAGGACTCTGTATATATATGAGAAAATTACGCCTTTCACCTACAAAGCTCTTTTTATTTTCACATTTACAACTTTCTTAATTGCAAATATCCCGACTCTCACTAATTATGAATGATTGATTTGTGGTTTATTTTTACCATTGGTTTCTAAATTGCATTGTTTTGTTTTTTTTGTTTTTTGTTTTTTGTTTTCTGTTTCCTCATTTGTTTTTGGTTTTATGTTAAATGTCATATTTTTGCAAAATTTTCAACAAGTGTGGTAAACATGTAAAAGTGCACCAGCTCCATATCTGGAGGCTTTGTCTTCTAAAATCTTAAGGCTGTTTTCTCTCTTTCATTGTCTATTTTGAGCCCTCCGCGGAAGCTGCTTAGACATATGCCTTGAGCCATAAAGAAAAAAATGGCTGGAATAAGATTATTCAGTTGATTTTTAACACATAGCCTTAGGGAAAATACACAATGTTTCCCTTTTAAAGATTGAGCAACCAAGAAAAAAATGCACAATGCTTTAAGAGAGAAAAAAAAGGACAAGAAAAGAAAGTCATGTTAATGTGTAGATATCTTTGTAGCCTATATGTAATATTCAATGGAGTCTGGAATGTGTCTAAACTATCTGATATAGTAATGATAAAAATGAAATATATTGAAACGTTCGCATTATAATTTCTTTCGTTTTCTTCCTTTTGGGATCATATGTTCATCTGTTTTTTCTTTCTTACTTTATCTATATCAAACAATCTTTATGTATTGCTTAGCATGCTTAAGGATCATATTTATGTTCTCTTCATGGGTTTCCTGTTAACGTTATAAATTGGTGACCAGATTTGCAACTGCTCAAATCATTTCCACCTGACTCTGATGAACAACAGGCTTGCATCACAGCTGCTCAGGATGCGGATGGGTATAATTGGGGGTGAGAATAAATGCAATGTGTGTTTTCTCTATCTCTTGACTATTTTATTTTGCATGACATCCTTTACTGAACTATCTTTGCAATCATAATATCTATGAAGATATAATCCCGTTCTCTGGGGTGTCCCAAAAGGAAGCTATGCAACTAATCCTAATGGTTCTGACCGAGTGATTGAGTTTCGCAAGATGGTTCAGGTGTATGTTTTATTAAGTAGGTGATATTAATGTACTTTCCACAATAAATGAGTGAAAAAAATTTGCAAGTCATGGGTTTAGTCTTTCATATGATCCTTATTTTGGTCTAATAAAGACGATGTATTTGATGGTAGGCACTCAACCGAATTGGTTTACATGTTGTGCTGGATGTCGTTTACAATCATTTACATGCGAGCGGCCCCTATGACGAGTACTCTGTACTTGATAAGGTCATGTGGAAAAATGTTGACTGAATTTACATATTAAGTTTCTTTGAGCAATAATTTTCTTGATAACAGTGCACCTACCTGTGCATTCTAATATTTCTTTAGTGATTACTTGGAATTTATGCAAAATTTTGAAATTAAACCTTTTTTTTTCCTCAAAAAGTAAGTATTCAATTAATAAATCCATGTCAATTGAAACCAAGGGTTGCTAAATTTATTGACAATGTAGAATGTAGTACCTCTTCCGCTCACGCTCTCTTTTGTGAAATTATTTTCTTTTCCTTTCATGTGACCTATTTCGTGCTTCAAATTCTTTTACTAGACCAAATTAATTGCAGATTGTTCCGGGTTACTACTTGAGGAGAAATCTTGATGGCATTATCGAGCATAGTACATGTACAAACAACACGGCCAGTGAACATTCAATGGTTGAACGATTGATTATTGACGATCTCTTGCACTGGGCTGTCAATTATAAGGTTCACCATTTCGACTTGTGAACATTCATTTCTCTTTCTCAACAGTAAAGATTATTAGGATTTAGGACAATTTTTAACTCCGACTAGTTGCCAGTGCTTCCTGCTGATTCAAAAGTTTATTGTGCTAGTATACGCTGTTTAAGACATTGTTGAACCTTTTTCTCTTCTTGAAAATGTATTTTCTCACTAGCTTTACTTGTTACACTGTAGGACTATTCTTAAAGTTGTGAACAGGGAACCTTATTGCCAAGAAAATCTATTAAAATTAGAACTGTTTATCTCATGATGAATTGCCCATACCTGTACGTTGTTTAAGTATTCCCTAAAATAAAAATCATCGTGGAGAAAGTTTTCACCCAGTGGTGTCCTTAAGGGTCTTAATTCGAATAGTTCAGAATAGACATGATAAGTAATGGTTGGCAAAATTGGAGGATTGTTTACCTAATCCAAAATTTAGAGACCAATTAAAAAAAAAAAAAATAGAAAACCAATATTTGCACATTTAATTTTCGGTATCGAGTGTTTGCTGTAATAATCAGACAGATAGCTTGCCATGGAAAATAGATATCTATATGTTTGGTTAACTCCAAAAATATACAAAGGATAATGCACCATTTATACATAGTCAGAAATTACGTATCTGGTTTTACTCGTCTTAATCTGAACTGACCTACCATTTTCGTAATCTAAATAGACATGGGAAATAATAGTTTGTTGACATAATTGAGTCCCATATAAGATTTTACTTTTCAAAATTTATATATTATTATCAATGTTTTACCTAGGAAATTCATCTGTGATATTGCAAATGAAGGAAGGTCAGATGAATACCATGTTGTTAATTTCGGAATGTTTTACCTTGTGTTCTTTATTAGTAATCAAATGATTTTGATTATTTTTGGAATGAAATTTATTTTGATTGAAAGACAACTGATTGAATAATTAATGCACAGTGCTTAAATTATATTGAGCTGTCCTTATGACAAAGTATTACTTTGGATGAATTATTGTCTAAATATGCACCGCATGGAGTAGTTGCAAAAACCCCTTTCTTATGGTGTGATTTAAAGCTATAACCTATTATATGCTAACCATTTGAGTATTGCAGGTTGATGGCTTTCGCTTTGACCTCATGGGTCACATAATGAAGCGTACAATGGTATGAATTGTATGAATTGAATTTGTTTATGTGCTTTTGCATGTCTTCATACTGAAGTTTGTGGATTATTTATAGCCAAAATGCAACATAAAGGAACATATTGATTAACGGCGCATACAAGATAAACTGAATGAAGCTCTCTCTTTCTCAGGTTGAAGGTGCTGAGAATATAAATAATTGTGACTTGCAATTTAAAATTAATATATGTATTTGCACGAGTCGGAACACTGCTGTTAAACTCATGTAAATGATAAATAAAAGAATCTGTCTGTGAGTAAATTCGGTATTAGGAAAATGGAATTAGATATAGCTATGAACGTGTTGTACTGATTATGTATAGAGATGATTTTGAAGTTATTAATTAATCATAAAGCTAGGAATAAAAGAAAGGGAAGAGAAACATTTTATTTTATTATACTCAATACTTTTCCTTTTATTTTTCTTCATTTTCTTTTTTTGGCTTGTTTGAGAAATTTGAGTATGACAAGAAAATTTTTCTTCTCTGTCATACTGCAGTTAAAGGCTAAAAGTTTGCTCCAGAGGTTGACAATACAGAATGATGGAATAGATGGCTCTAGCATCTATATGTAAGTCTCCCTGAGTTGGATGATTTTTTACCTTACAACAATAGACAAATTCATGGCTTTTCCTTTCTGTATGATTTATGAACCAATTTTGGAAAATCTTTTATTTTCAGATATGGCGAAGGATGGGATTTTGGAGAGGTGGCTAACAATGGGCGTGGTGTTAATGCCTCTCAGTTCAACCTTTGTGGGAGTGGAATTGGAAGGTACTTCTTTCTTGTTCAATGACTTCACTTGGGTTGCATTTGAATGGAAAAGAAATCCATAGTTTGTAATCCATTAAGCTTGTTCAAAAATCTATTGAATTACTCTCACGCTTTCATCCAACTTATTATTTTTATTTTCCCTTTTTGGCTACATCTTGTGCCAATATTCGATCATGAGCTTTTTTTTTCAATTATTGTAAATACTATGAGATTTGATTTAGTTTCAACGACCGAATTCGAGATGCAATACTTGGGGGGTCCCCGTTCGGACATCCACTTCAACAAGGCTTCATAACAGGTTTGTCATTGGAGGTATATTCTTATATTCTTTCCTATTAGTTTCCTTTATATTTTTGTAACACCTATGTATTACTGCTTTACTTGATGNGTTGGAATGGCTGCCAACCTTAAGGACTTTGTTCTAACCAACTTTGAGGGCGATGAGGTAATATTAAATGCTAATATCATGAATGATGTCATTCGCATTCTTAATCATCTATTTTATTAGTAAATAAAATTCCAACTACTTCCCAGCCCTTATTTTATGTGAATTCAAATGACTTTACTTTAGCACTCTTTTTTTTTTTTGAAATGCTATCTGGCAGTGTGCTTGCATCTGAGCAAAGCTGGAGAATTGAATTTGAATAAAAAGAAATTAAAAGGAACTTGTAGTAGATTTCTAGTATTTTGTAGAAACAAAACAATGAATACTCCCATTCCTACGAGTGAATTATTGTTTACGTCAAACAACCAATTGCAAAGAATTTCCAGTTTAATAGACCTCAACTTCTTTAGTAAAAACTCATGCCCAAGTTTCACAAAAGATAGAATTACTTCTTTCCTCCATATTTTGTTTATTAGTTTACGTCCAAGAATGATTTGAATGTTAAAATAGTATTACTTTGAACAATCTAAATGAAGTTCTCGAGAAATAGTTATATGAAATGTAAATTTATAACCATACTTGCAGCTTTTAATTATGTCTTTTTGTTTGTTCATAACTTCATATAGAGTTAGAAGCTTTAGCCCATATAGTTGCATGCTCATTTTGCAAATAAAGCAAGCTTTATGTTTGATCACATTACTATTTCAAGCTAGTGGGATTTCTTCAACATTTTACCAACATTTCTCTATTAGATACCTGAAGAAGGAACACCGTTAATTATTATTATTTGCCTTCAAACAGGTTAAAGGATGTGAAGTTTCAGTGCATGATGGTAAACCTGTAGCATATGCTTTAGGCCCTGTGGAAACAGTAAGGACATTCATTCTATTCTTTTTATATTTGTATTTTTCACAAATCATTTCTTACGTTTTATTTCTATGCACAATCTTGCTTTATATTGGATTCCACATCTATTATTAATTTAATCTTACATGATCAGGTGAATTATGTTTCTGCTCATGATAACGAGACATTGTTTGACATCGTGAGTTTAAAGGTAATCTTATCTTTTATAAATTACAGTAGTTATGTTGAAAACAGTAAATTAATCTATTGTTACATGCATACAGACTCCGGTAAATATCTCTGTGGGTGAAAGATGTAGGATTAACCATTTAGCTACCAGCATAATAGCCCTTTCCCAGGTTTGACGTTATATTCTATGTTGTAATTATTGATTGCATATTTTTTCTAGCTGGTAAGCCCTTCTATTTCATCAATAAATTTTCCATAAATATAGATTTATGTAGCATAACTTGCTAAGGAAATTATCCCCACATAACCATTGTGGGATACCACAAACTCAGTGTTAAAATTTAATTGTTTAGATCTGGGCCTTTATATGAATATCAAGGTATAATAAATAAATATATAAAATGAGACCTATGCTTCTTGTATATCTTTCTAGTGTCTTCAAACATTTAAATTTTTTTCAATTGTACTAACTTCGGAGTTCCTTTACAAAATATTTTAGATACAATACATGTTTATAAGTTTTAAATCAAAGTAGCCGGTTTAAATCATAATTAGTTAAAAGAATCTGTAATCAAACTTCACTATGATTGTTGAATTCATCGTGACGTATAGGTGGACTTTTGTTATAAGTTATGCTTTTTATTTACTATTTTTTTCCTTGTTTAGGGAATACCTTTCTTTCATGCTGGTGATGAGATTCTGCGTTCTAAATCTTTAGACCGCGATTCGTACAATTCTGGTGATTGGTTCAACAGGTGACTCAATTATCAGATTCAAAATTTAACTTCAATTTTTCATATTTCAGTTCCATTTCCTTTCTTAATTTTGTCACATTATGATGAAATTTCTATTCCAAATCATGACTTCTCCAAAAAATGTCACATTCTATAATTTTATAGAACTGTATGAATCTCTTATTCTCAATTTTTTCTTTTTCCAGGTTAGACTTCAGTTACAGCTCTAATAACTGGGGAGTTGGTCTTCCCCCAAGAGAAAAGAACGAAAGAAATTGGCCACTGTCAGCATCATTTTCTCTTGAACTATTGCATGTGAACTATTGTATTGGATTTACATGATGATCCCTACAAACCTTCCTGTTTTTTCTCTTCAGAATCAAAACAAGATTGGGAAATCCAGCATTTATGCCTCAAAGGAGTCACATCCTAGAAGCCTTTGAAAATTTTTGTAGCTTTATTCGCATCAGATACTCGTCCCCCCTTTTCCGTTTGCGTACAGCAAATGCGATCCAGGTAAGTGTTAATGCATGTTCCAGTTAGAAACAATTACAAACTGCTCCAGTTAGAAACAATTACAAACACTTACCTTAGGCATATCTCCTCTCTCTGTAATATATAATGATACAAGGCCTATAAGAGGAGAGAGAGAGAGAAAGAGGGAGAGAGGAAGAGAGAGAGAGAGAGAGAGGGGGGGGAAGAGAGAGAGAGAGAGGGAGAGGGAGAGAGAGAGAGAGAGAGGGAGAGAGAGAGAGAGAGAGAGAGAGAGACAATGAGAACAATTTCTTGAGCAATCTACTCTGATTGTGAGTTTCTAGGAAAGGGTTCGGTTTCATAACACTGGTTCATCGTGGGTCCCTGGGGTTATTGTCATGAGCATCGAAGACGGTTATGAAGGCTATCCCGGACTTTCTCAGCTTGATCCCATGTTAGTCACACAAAATTTTTATATAAAACTTTTTTACGTGTATCTTGTTTTGTGAATGTAATATTTGTGCATGCCATGTGCCCGCAGCTATTCTTACATTGTTGTTATAATCAACGTTTGCCCAACTGAAATCACGTTTACAAGCCCACCTCTGAGTGAGAAGCATCTACAATTGCACCCAATACAGGTTCTTTTCCGTTCTTCAGTTGCACTCATTATTTGTGTTGTGTTAAGTGAGCTTTGGAGGAAATAGTCTAGACATTTTGGTGAGGTGAGAGAAAAGAGTTTCAACAGTTTGTTTTGAAGAACTTTTTAGAACATCGCAATAGTTTCTCTTTGTTTTATAACGTTCCTCTAAAAAGAACCTTTCGGTAAATGAAAAGCATCTGAACCCGTGCTCCGTTTTCCCTCTTTTCCTTTCCAAACTGCCATAAAATAANTGATTGCGTTTAGAAAAAAAAAATGGTTTGACCAAATTTGAATTGATTTTTTATGGCTAAATATTTAATTTGGTTTGAATTAAATTGTGTAGTAAAATTCTACCTTCTAAGTAAATTCCCGCGGTTTATTTATTTCTCAAAATTAATTTTTCTGTGAGTGAGATATAATTATTAACTAGCCATTAATAGCAAGCAAAATCGTTGATTGTGGGATTCGAAGAGTCTAGTGTTCTTTCTTACGTTGGACTTGTAAATGAGATTATCTATTATAATTTTATTATAATAAAGAGAGTTGGAGAGGTCACAACAACAAAGCTATGCGTCAAGTGTCAGTGATACTTGAGCCACGCGCGCGTGCCCGCCTAGCCGGCCAGCACGGGCCTAGGACTTAGACTTGGACGTGGACCTTGGACCTTGGTCCTTTGGTCATTGACAATTGGACTGTGTGCTCAGACTTGAGCGGCCTTCGAGTCGGTCATGGACTTAGGCTTTGGGACCAATCCCTATACAAATTTATTTGTAAAACTGAGGCCCAAGTTAAAATCTAAACCGAGTTGGGTTTGGACTCGCGTTTTGACGCAGCCCGCGTGAGACCTCTCCAGGTACATTGAACCAGGACGTGTTGACTCCCCCTTGATTGTTTAAGGTAGAGATGGCCTGGGCTCGGGAAAAATCAATGGTTTTTAATTTTCTTTAAGACAGGTGCAGAACTGGGTCGCTGTTTTAAAGCCCAGAGAATCAATCGAGCTGTATTGTACAACTCGTTACTAAGTCCGTTCTGGACATAGCTCCGACAAACGTAATAACCTCGTCTCAAGCATCGTACGCAGTACATAGTTCAACATTGGTTTCATTTCAGCAACTGGTACTTCACCAACCCCCAAGCTTGGTAAAAATGCATCTTCAGTCAAGCCCGTTGAATTTCTCGGGCTATTCAACAGTAGGAACATGGACAACAGGTATGAAATAATGATGAGGAATAGCGTTGTTGATTGGTTGCTATTATTGTTGAGCTTGTTGGGTGTTGGAACCATCTCCAATGGATGTCATCAGGTCAATATTTGTCTTGCCATTGTTAGAAACTGAGTGTTTCGATTACACGAGTTATCCTACAACTAAGTGTATAGTTTAGATATTACAACTTGAACTTACATATAGAAAATTACAATAGAGTTGAAAGCGAGAAGAGTATAGCTGAGGCGAGAGTATCTCTTTCGCCAAGACGAATACACTCTGTGTAGAGGTGATGGGTTCTCGCGTTTCGTCCCCAAGGATCGTCTCTAAAGCACTGTTCTAAAAATCGGCCTAGGCGGCCGCCTAGGCGGCGCCTAGGCGCTAGGCGGTATTCGGGCGCCTCTGATTTGTACAAATCGGCAAAAAAAATCGGCCAGGCGGTTAGGCGGCGTCTAGGTGGGCGTAGGCGGACTTAGGCATTCCTAGGCGGGCTCGGCGGTAATTTTTCAATTTTTTTTTATTTTTTTAAATACTAATTACATTATTTTGTTCTCATGTTTTCTTTAATATATATTAATATTATTATTTGGACTTTGGTGTGTAAATTTATTATATGTTGAGATAATTTTATTTTGTAGGTAGTTAAAATAAATAAAAAATAAGGTATTTACTATTGATTTCTGGACCCCGACTAGGCGCCGCCTAGGCCCCGACTAGGCGCTCTAGGCGCTAGGCACTGGTCGAGCGCCTAGCGGGCGCTTAGCGACTTTTAGAACACTGCTCTAAAGTCGTAGCACACCAGACTTTGGAGCTCCGACTAACTATAACATAGTCGAGAATTGAGTCATTGTTTGTGATATGATGCGTGAGGCTTAGGAGTATGCAGATGACTAGATGATATTATGAATATTTCTCAGCTCTATATCATGTCCTATTTATAGGACTACCAGCCTGTAGAGGATGACCTATGGTCTTCAGCCAATTAAAGAAGTTAACAGCCCACTTATGGCTGTTGTAAATGGAAAAAACGGTCAAGTGTTAAGCTTGCCGTTTTCAGGTGTTAACACACTACTATTCCACTTGTCAAGTGAAGTTAATATACCTGGAGAGGTCTCATGTGTTGGGTCAAAACCCGAGTCCAAACCCTACTCGGTTTGGATTTTTACTTGGGCCTCAATTTTGCAAAGTTTTCAGCAAAAAGATTATAGAGACAGGGCCAAAACCCATCACCAAGCCCATAGTCCAATTGCCAAAGGACTAAGGTTCAACATCCAGGCCCGTGCTCGAGCCCGAGCCAACCGGTCGGGGGGCGCGCACGTGTGGATGATGTCATCACTAAGACTTGGTGCATAATTTTGTTATTGTCGTGATCTCTCCATTCCTCTTTATTATAATATAGAGAGTTAATCTTATTTAAGAGTCTAATGTGGATATGACCCTTACCATTCGAATCCCACAACCAACATTTTACGTGCTTATTAATGGCTAACTTTAATCATTTATTTTTCACTCACTGAAAATCAATTTTGAGAAAATAAATATACCACATTTTTTTAGGTCAAACGTAAAATTTTTATATATAATTTAATTCAACTCGAATTAAATATTTAATCCTAAATAAAGTCCGTCAAAATCAGGTCAAACCCATTTTTTTTCATACTGATTTTCTAACAGATTGCACTCACTTAGTTACATCCTTTTTATTGCATTTTAGGTTCCTATGGGGAGCTGTGGAAATTATTATGTTGGATTAATGATCATATTTGTTTATCTTCATCTCATAACCTTCTTATCTCTCTTATCAGATGACTTCGGCTGATGAAATCGTCAAGAAGTCGACGTACAACTCATCCTCTGGCTCTTTCAGAATACCCTCAAGAACCACATCTGTTTTTGTCCAACCTCGTATGACCTGAAAAATTGACTGTGGTCTACGATGGATCTAATAGATTTTTCATGTTGTTCAAAAGGGCTTTATAAAATACTCGTGTTAGAATTAAATTATCGATATGTATCTAAGCTTAAGATTCTTATATTCTTTAATTTTTTAGGGGTGTTCTTGAGGGGTGTTGCAAATACCCAGCAAGAACTCCAGCCTTGGGTTTAGCGCAATACTTCTTCGGATTCGTTGTCATACCCTGCAACATGTCCAGAGAACATGATTAATGAGCATCTCCAGCCTTGAGTTGTGTTATGGATGATGTTCATTAATCATGTTTTGTGGACAGAAATACCCAGCAGAATGTTGCAAATTTGAAGTTGGGTTGATTGGGGGGTGTTCTTGTTAAAAAAGACAGTGAAATTGTTTAAGTTCACCTTCTGCCCAGTGAACCTCTGATACTTTGCTAGGATTTCCATAATAGTTTGATTTTGCTGACAAGAAGCCTCATAGAATACAAAGAATCATCTGCAAAAAGAATATGAGTGACAACAAGACCATTTCTTGATAACCTTAACCACTTAAAGTTTCCTAATCTCACCTCAGTAGCAATCAACTTTGAGATCACTTCAGAAACAAGAATAAACAGGTATGGGGATAAGGGATCTTCCTGCCTTATTCCTCTAGATGGACCACAACTTCACCATTCAAATTATATGAAAATGCAGTGGAAGAAATACATGTTGAAATCCATTTAACAAAGGCTTTGTCAAAAACCCATTTGCAATAATACCTTGATAATATTGTTCCATTCCAGCCTGTCATAGGTCTTCACCATATCCAACTTCACAGCCATGTAACATTTACTACCAGATATGTGCCTATTCAAATAGTGAATTGCTTCTTGAGCTATGATCACATTGTCCATTATTTGTCTATCAGGTAAAAAGGCAGCTTGGCATTCACTATACAACAATTGAGGCACCCTTTAAGTCTTGTAGTAAGAACTTTAGAAATAATTTTGTAAGACACACCACATAGACTGATAGGTCTAAAGTTACTGAGAGAAGCTGGATTTAGGCACTTGGGTATCAGATTTATTAGAATGTGATTCCAGTTTCTGAGTAACATACAGATTGACAGAACAAGTAGCCTTGCAAAGATCAATTTCGATGATGGGCCAGAAATGTTAGAAGAATAGTGGTGACATTCCATCCTCTCCAGGTGATTTTTCAAGACTCGTACTAAATAGAACAACCTTGATATCATCTTCAGTGACTTCAGAGATGAGTTCCCTGTTCAAATCCTCTGAGATAGATTTAGGAATTAAATACAGTCTTCCTCCCCTCTAGAACCTTCTGACCTAAAAAGATCATCATAGAACTCCACAACACATTTCTCAATCTCTGCTTGAGACTCAAACACCCTATTTTTGTTATCAATCAGCCTAGCAATTGAATTAGTTTTTCTTCTTTGCATAGTCAGAGCGTGGAAAACTTAGTGTTCTGATCCCGTTCTCTTAGCCAATTTGCCCTAGACTTTTGTTGCCAAAACTGTTCTTCAGAGTTATGGGCCTCATCCGAGTCTTGCTTGATTCTTTCCCACTCTTCCCGGTTCCCTTGATCCCCAGCTAGTCTCATTTCTTCTAAAGTCAGTGCCAACTTTGCAATGGTCTGAGAGTTAAACGAACTGAAAGCTGTACTCCAGATAAAGAGTGCAACTCTGGTTTTTTTAGTTTTCTCTTTCATAACAAACATCAGGGTACCTTCCTGAGCCTGCTCTCAAGCACCTTTCGCAGTATCATCCACATTTGTCTGTTGAAGCCACTTTTTGTAAAAAAAAAAGGAACCTTTTTTCCTTCTTAGGGTGCCAGCAGGATTAAAATCCAGAACTAACATGCTATGGTTTGAGGAGCTTTTATAAGTGTTGAGAACAACAACATTTGGGTTAACAACCAACCATTAAAAGAACCAAATACCCTATCAAGCTTTTCCTCTATAAACCCTCTTGAGCTCTATTGTTTCCCCAAGTAAAGCTATGCCCTCTCATAAAAATTTCCCTCATTCCCATCCCTGCAATGAAATCATTGAAGCCATGCAAACTTCTAATAGACTTCTCCCTCTCTCCTCTTTTCTCATATTGAGTTTCATTTCAATACCCTCCAATCACCCAAATGTTCCCCCACTTACCCTTAGCACTCCTAAGATAAGACCACTGAGCTTCTCTCAGTACCATCTCAGTACTAGCATACACCAAAATCAACCAGAATGACTCTCTAACCCCTACTCTTTAGCTTCCACTTAAAACATAAATCATTACTTAGCACCTGCAGAACCTGAATTCAGAGTCCCACAACAATAATAAAACCCCCCACTCATTTTCCTAGGCTCAACAACACTCCACCTGTTATGAAAACCAACTTTTTACAAATGGTTTTTGAAATCAAAAGGATTCCTAGTTTCTGACAGGAAAATAAAATTTTGGTGATGGTACATATTGACTTCCTTAAGCTGCAAAACTGTAGAGAACCCACCTAGACCTCTAAAATTCTGCAGTATTTTCTTTATTGGTCACTGTGGGGCCAATTAAGGTTGGCTACCACCACTTGTTTCTCTTCCAATTTAGCTTCTTCCTATTTCTTAAAGCAAGCTCAACTAGATCCCCTTTTCCTTCTTGTTGAGAACTAGAGGGCCTACTCTTTAAATCAGGTCCTTCAGAAAAGTAGATAAGAATACCTTACTGCCTTAACACTCTCCCCCCAACTTTTGGAGCTCTTTTCCAACTCTTACCAGTGTTGGTGGTTTTCTACTTTGTTTTGCCTCCAATTGGATTATTCTCACGAGTTTTATCTGGAACATCAAGTTCAACCTCCATGGGATTGCAAATCTCTTTAAGCCCTTGTACTCCATTTTCCTCTAATATTGGCAAAGCTAGTGACTTGGGAGATACCACCTTGGAGGATGAGAGTTGCTAATAAATGACTTGCCCAGTGTCTCTTCCTGCAACTGCTTTATGAGAAGTCAGCTCCACACTTACCGAAGCCCTTT